AGAATTGGTATGTTTTGAAATTTCTGAACACTTTATTCTCAGTTGATAAAATGGCAAAAATTAAGACACATGTGCAACATCTGGGTATCTTTATTGTAGACGTTTCGCCATCCAGTGGCTTTATCCATGCAAATTCCAGGACATAATTTGAAGACAGTAAAACTATATACAGAAGATGAGGTAATCAGTCCCTCAGCCTTGGAGTTGGTGCGAAGAGCACCGTAGTGAAATAGCTAAGAACTGGTCAAATGGAACAATGTAATTGGCCTAAAATAGGACTCAAAGTGGGCAACATCATGGATTGCATAAATATTGCTGACAGCAAAGTTTGCAAGAGCGTAATTTATTAAATTTTCCATCAAATTTTGTACTTTTTGTTTTTATTACCTCCAGAAAAAAATTCTTTACCATTTTATAAGAAAAAACACAATTTGTTTTTTTTAAATTCTTGGACATTGTGGACACTTCAGATTGAGATTAAATGAATCCCTTTTCTTCTGAAAGTTCAGTGCGGTTAAACATAAAAAAGGCTCCTTTATACCAATAGGTCATAGCGTGATCAGTGGCAGTATTTTCTAGCTAAACTGACCTGCCTCGTATTTTGGAATTACATTTATTTCATTATGATAGAGTGGATAGGGTAGCAATATGGCAGATGTTGCAAGTGTATGGAATAGGTAGTAAGTTACTAAATGCTGTAAAGAGTTTTTGTAAGGATAGTGAGGCTCAGGTGAGGGTTGTGTAGGAGAGAGGGAGATTACTTCTCAGGAAAAGTGGACAGGGATGTGTAATGTCACCATGGTTGTTTAACATATTTATAGATGGGGTTGTAAATGAAGTAAATGCTAGGTTGTTGGGGAGAGGGGTGGGATTAAATTATGGGGAATCAAATACAAAAATGGGAGTTAACAGTTACTTTTTGCTGATGATACTGTCCTTTTGGGAGATCGCAAAGAAAAGTTGCGAAGGTTAGTGGATGAGTTTGGGAGGTGTGTAAAGTAGAAAGTTGAAAGTGAACATAGATAAGAGTACGGTGATGAGGGTATTCAAACAATTTAGATAAAGAAAAAATTGGATATCACATTGGAGGGAGGGAGTATGGAAGAAGTGAATGTTTTCAGATATTTGGGAGATGACTTGTCAGCAGATGGGTCAGCAGATGGGTTTATGAAGGATGAGGTTAACCATAGAATTGATGAAGGAAAAAAGGAGGCAGCTGGAGGCAGTGGAGATATCATTTCTGAGGGCAACATGTGGTGTAAATATTATGCAGTGTGTTCATTATGTGAAAATTGGGACGAGGTGTGGCGTTGCTAAAACTATTAGTCAGAGGGCTGAAGAGGGGTTGTTGAGGTGGTTTGGTCATTTAGAGAGAATGTAACAAAGTATAGAATGACCTGGAGGGTGTAGAAATCTGTAGGGGAAGGAAGGCAGAGTAGGGGTCATCCTCGAAAAGTTTGGAGGGAGGGGGTTGGACTTCCAGCAAGCATGCACGAGTGTGTTAGTAAATGGAGATAAATAGTTTTTGGGACCTGACAGGCTGTTGGAGTGTGAGAAGGATAATATTTTGTTAAGGAATTCAGGGAAACCAGTTAGCTGGATTTGAGTCCTGGAAATGGGAAGTACAATACCTGCACTTTGAAGGAGGGGTTTGGGATATTTGCAGTTTGGAGGGACGTCTAAGCTGTTGTGCCTCTGCAAAGATGGTAATTATATATGAGTGATGGTGAAAGTGTTGAATGACGATGAAAGTTTTTCTCTCTTTTTGGGTCACCCTGCCTCAGTGGGAAATGGCCGACGTGTTAAAAAAAATTACAGTATGTATTACCATGTCTCGTTGGTGACGTTTTTTGTGTCCCTACTTTAAAATTGTAGCATAAAACTAAAACCAGTTTGTGTATATCATTTATACCCTCTTGTTATTGAATGTTTAGATCACACAATTACATATATACAACCCATCCTTATTTGATATTTGTTTTCCTGTGCATTACCTGGCATCATTTTCTGTGTTTTTAATTGGTTAGTCAGAGTAAGTTACACTAACCTATGTGCTTTATGCAGAATATATCATTTACCATGGAGCTGTGCAACTGGTAAAATCTTGTAATTAACAAAAAGGCACAACATCAACTGAACAATGCACAAATAACCTGCATGTAGGAGAGGGGAGCTTGTGACAATGTTTCGGTCTGACTTGAACCATTTACTACGTCACACTAACAGAAAGGAGAGGAGGCAGTATATATTGGCCAGCAGACAGGGATGGGAGAAGGGAGGTAGTAGGAAAGGAAGTAGAGAGTTGGTGGTAGTAGTTGTAAATAGTAGTAGTTGCAGTTGTAGTTGTGGTGGTGGTGGCAGAAGTAGTAATAGAAGTAGTAGTAGTAGTAATCAGTCAAAGATTAAGAAAGAGGAACACTGCAAGGGAGCTAGGAGCCCACAAAGGGTAGGAACAAAAATACAGAGGGGAGGGAGGGGGGATAAAATAATAAAGAACCAAACACCCAAGGCAGAAGAAAGAAATCTCAAAGGAGGAAGAAAAGAGGAAAGAGGAAGAGGGAGAAGGAGAAAAAAGAATCAGGTTAAGTCATGGGTGTTCTGAAGTTTGGAGCATTTTACAATGTAATGGGAAAGGAAGTCGTCTACAGAGACAAAACCAGGGCTAAGATTCATACTAGGAAAATTGTGTATTAGGGAGGATTCAAACAGACGGCGACTGTTAAAGTTGGAAGTAGGGAAGACAGTTTTAGCAGAAGACCAGTCAATAGGATGACTGTGATTTCTGACATGACAGAAAAGAGCATTGTTGGTGTTGGCAAGCCTGGCACTACTTTTTGTGATCCCTGAGTTTGTCAGAAAGAGAATAGTCAGTTTCTCCAAAGTACTGAAGAGGACAAGAGAAACAGGAAATAGAGTAGACACCAGGAGCATCTATAGAAGGAGGAGAGGTATGAACTAGATTGGTGCGAGGAGTGTTAGTCTGGCAAAAAGTAACTTTGATGTCTAAGGAACGGAGAGAGTTGTTGAGATTAGAAAGAGTGGAAATATAGGGAAGGCAGAGGACAGGAGAGTTCACAGGAGTAGAGAGTTTGGGAGATAAGTTTAGCACGTGAGAAGGCAAAGTCTATTTCATAGGATGACTGTGAAGGCAGTTTATTTCATAGACTCTGCCTTCATAGACTCTTGCCATTTTCTTTGACAGACTCTGGGAGCACAAAAGTAGTGTTTGGCTTGCCGACACCAACAATGCTCTTTTTTGTCATGTCAGAGATCACAGTCATCCTATTGACTGGTCTTCTGCTAAAACTGTCCACCACTACCACCACCGCCGTCGCTGCTGCTGCCGTCACCCCGTCCCCTCCTCCCTAAATCCCTCCCTCCCTCCATCTCTCAACTTCCTTTCCTACTACCTCTCTTCTCCTGTCCCTATATATACTGCCTCCTCCTTTCCTTTCTGTTAGTGTGACTTTGTAAATGGTCCAAGTCGGACCAAAACGTCGTCGTAAGCTCCTCTCTCTTATTTGTGTGTTAAAATCTTCACATTTTTCACTCTTGTTGTAAGTATGGGTTGAAATACTGTATACAATAGAAATTCTAATTTCATAATTTTATTATTACTTCAATTTCCATGTCTTTAAGACATTTTGCTTTTATTTATAAGGTTTTCAATAACAAAAACAGTCTCTTCTTTATCTCCCTTACAGATTTCATCGCCATTTGTTTTCAAGTTGCTGCTTCATCGGCCAATCTTTAGGTGTGCAATACTTATGTTTCAGCAGGAATTTGCGGAACGTTTAATTGCCAAGCCTGGTGATAAGTTGTACTGCAGATTAAGTGTCAACACTCAGCTGTTGGCCAAAGTTGACCATCTCATGAAAGTTAGCAAGAACAACTTCCGACCCCCTCCTAAGGTAGAACTTGTGTATCATAATATATTTTGTACTGATTTCAATATTTTCCTTAGTCTTCCACATTCAATGGTACCTTGACTTATGAGTTTAATTTGTTCCATGACCAAGCTCATAACTCAGTTTGCTTGTACAGTGGACCCCCGACTTACGATATTAATCTGTTCCTGAGAGCACATCGTAAGACGAAATTATCGTAAGTCGAATTAATTTTCCCCATAAGAAATAATGGAAATCAAATTAATCCATTCCAGACACCCCAAAGTATGAAAAAAAAAAACATTTTTACCACAAGAAAATATAAATTTTCCTACACACAAAAAGCAGATACATGCACAAAATATATATTGTGTAATGAAGAATAAATGACATATACCTTATATTGCAGATGTGGTGATGAGTGATGGGATGGGAGAAGGGGAGATGATGGAGGTTTATTATTTTTTGGAAGGGGAATCCCCTTCCATACGGACTTTAGGTAGCAAGTCCTTTTCCGGGGTTACTTCCCTTCTTCTTTTAATGCCACAGGGTGATTTTCTTCCATAAAGGTTTGCAGTTCAACCCACTTTGCACACATTTCCTTAATCTTTGAAGAAGGCAACTTCCTCAATTTCTCTCTTCCCTTGTCTGAAGCAGTTTGCTCAGTTGTGGCCTCATGTTGTTGCAGATGCTCTTGCAGCTCATCAGTGGTTAGTTCTTCACTGTTGTCCTCCACTGACTCTTCCACATCCTCCCCACTAACCTCTGACCCCATGGACTTCCCCAATGCCACAATAGATTCCACAACTGGCATAGGCTCCTCAGGGTTAGCCCCAAACTCTTGAAATCCCTCTCCTACACATCTGGCCACAATTTCCTCCAAGCAGAGTTCAAGGTCCTCTTAGTCACTCCCTCCCAAGCCTTACCTATAAGGTTTACACAATTGAGGATACTAAAGTGATCTTTCCAAAACTCTCTTAGGGTCGGTCGAGTGTCTGAGGTCACTTCACAGCACTTTTGAAACATTGCTTTGGTGTACAGTTTTTTTGAAATTTGAAATGACCTGCTGGTCCATGGGCTGGAGGAGAGGAGTGGTATTAGGAGACAAGAATTTCACTTGAGTGAAGCTCAAGTCTCCCAAAATTCGCTCTGCCAAGTCTGAAGGATGACCAGGAGCATTGTCTAATACCAGGAGGCACTTAAGGCTCAATTTATTTTCCAGGAGGTAATTTTTCACAGTGGAGCCAAACACATGGTGAAACCATTCATAGAAAAAGCCCCTAGTGACCCATGCCTTACTGTTTGCCATCCACATCACACAAAATTAGCCTTGACAACATTGTTTTTCCTGAACACTCTGGGAGTTTCAGAGTGATACACGAGTAGAGGGCTTCACTCTGCAATCACCACTAGTATTACTACACATTAAGGTTATCATGTCTTTCATAGGCTTGTGTCCTGGCAGTGCTTTTTCCTCCTGTGTAATGTAGGTCCTGTTTGGGATTTTCTTCCAAAACAGCCCTGTTTTGTCACAATTAACCCTTTGAGGGTTTCGGCCGTACTAGTACGTCTTACGCGTAGGGGTTTTTGATGTACTAGTACGCACAAATTCTAGCGCCGTCAAATCTCGTGGGAAAAGGCTGGTAGGCCTACATGTGAGAGAATGGGTCTAAGTGGTCGGTGTGCGTGGTAGAAAAAAAATCTGGGACCCAGTAGTGCATTGTGGGAACACCCTCTTAGTAAACAATGTCCACCATGCCTCGCGGTAAGAAGCTCCTCACTCCTCGGCGAATTGGGACACTTTTGTTCCCCAGTGACAGTTCTAATACAGATGGAAGTGCCAGTGAAGATGAGTTTCATGGTTTTGGTGAGGTTTTGACCGAAACTAATGACCATAATATCGGTAATAGTGAGGAAAACCCAGACGACCCTCAGCCTTCCACCTCTGGTTGCTGGCCATCTTATTCACGTTCAGTTGTACCAGAACCCAAGAGGAAACTTCTATTTTCCCAAATCCCAGACTCAGATGAGAGCATGGGTGATGATAGTGATAGTGAATATGAACTACAAGCTCTTCAAACTAGTTCCAGTAGTGATAGTGAAGTGCAATATTCCCCAGTGAAGCGTCAGTATATACGACGATATATGCGCTCTGGTAGTGTGCCACATGTTATTCCAAGGGGAAGGAGTGTATCTCGGAGTACATCCCGTGGCTGTACAACAGGAACAGACAGTGAAAATGACGATGATACTGTTGCAATTGGGATGGAACATGTGCGTGGTGGTAGTGGTGCCGGCGGTGAGGCACCAGCAGTGGGCCATGCTGCCACCCACGCCGCTGCGTCAGCTGATCTACAACAAAGGCCACCATCCCCCACTCACCCACCACACCAGCCTCCACAACCACAACCTCCACAACCACAACCTCCACAACCACAACCTCCACAACCACAACCACCTGTCATTGTCCAGTACCCACCAGCAGACCTCACCTGGGATTGGCAGGAAGCTGTCAATTTTGTTCCAAATGCCCACCAGTTTGATGACAGCCAAAGTGGAATACGGCCATCTTGTACTCTTGGGAACAATGCCACTGAACTGGAATGTTTCGAGTTATTCTTTGACGAACCACTGATGGAAAGTATTGTCATGGAAAGCAACACATACTACGAGTACACCATGGCAAACACATTACTTTCACCAAAATCACGTCTACACCAGTGGAAGGAGGCAACTGTGGCTGAGATGTATCTTTTCTTTGCCACAATAATGCTTATGCCACATGTGTATAAGCACAAAGTGAAATCATACTGGTCAACAGACCGCCTGATTGCAACCCCAGGTTTCAGTGATATAATGCCAGTGAATCGATTTGTGCTAATGTTACGTATGCTTCACTTCTCAGATAAAACCAGGCCTGACAGAACTGACAGGTTATATAAGATTAGGAATGTGTTTGTGTATCTGAAAGAGAAATTCAGTACGCATTTTTATCCCTTCAGGAAGCTTGTAATTGACGAGTCTTTGATTCTGTTCAAAGGAAGACTCTCTTTCAAGCAGTACATACCAACAAGAGGAAACGCTTTGGTATAAAGTTGTTTGTGCTTTGTGATTGTTACAGTGGTCTGGTATTGGATATTATTGTGTACACTGGAAGTTATACATTGCAAAATCCCAGGAAGTTATTGGGCATCTCAGGTGATGTGGTTCGAACAATGATAGAACCATAACTTGGTAAGGGGCATATATTATATACAGATAACTGGTACACAAGCCCCTCACTCAGTGATTTTTTGCGAGTGAACATGACAGATGTGTGTGGCACAGTGCGTGCAAATCGGAAACATAAAGCCCAGGTTTGACGCTGGCCCCTCGTAGAGGTGAGGTGGCAGGCGTTTGCTGCCAATGACATCATGGCATTTCGGTGGCATGACAAATGAGATGTCACACTGTTGTCATCAGTTTCACCCTAATGAAATGGCAGACAGTGGCAGGCAGCATAGAGAGAGCAATGAACCCATTCTAAAACCTGCAGCTCTGATTGATTACACCTTCAACATGCATTCAGTGGACAAATGTGACATGCAGATTGGGTATGCTGATTGTGTTCGCAAGAGTTATAAGTGGTACATCAAACTGTTTTTCCATCTTCTTTGGGCATTTCCATGCTCAATGCTTATAATGTGTATAAGATGAGGATCAGAAACAAACCACAGTACGGCGAATTCTGTTTGTCTGTCATCAGACAAATAGTATTCAAGTACCAAGGAACAGCACCTGCAATTGACCGCCCACCAATTATCAACAACTACCTGCTCGTCTGAAGCATGGTGATCACTTCCTGGTAAAACTGCCTGCTACTGCTTTCAAGAAGAAGGCATCAGAAGAGGTGTTACGTCTGTGCACATACAAAAAAAACGCCCCACAACAACGCAGAGACACTCGTTTTATGTGTGAGGAGTGTAAAACACCACTGTGCATGACACCATGTTTCAAAGAGTTCCACAGGCTGCAGAACTTCTAGAAACATTCCCTGTGACTGTATATGTGTATATAAAATATAGAAAAATAGTAATAAACAACATTTCATATCGTTTGTTTGTGTAAATATTTTCTATAAACAAAATAATGACAACAGTGTTTACGCCCTTATTGTGTAGTATTGAAAAAGAAATAACTTACAAAATAATGATCATGTTGGCCTCAGAGGCCATAAAAGTTACTCAGAAAAAGAAAAGTTGAAAAATAATTGAAAATAGTACATAAAAAAGTAAATAGAAAAATACCGGGTGACGGCAGTCGGCGATGTTACCAGATGTTCAATTTTGGCAAACTTCACGCCTCCATATCTCGGTAAGTATTGAAGTTAAATTTTTTTTGTTTAGCCTATAATGTTTAGAAAAAAGAACTATTTTTTCATAAGAAAAAATATTTTTTTTTTTTTTTGAAATTTGGCCGACCCTGAGAACGAGTTTCGGAGAGGGCCTGTCGACCTCAAAGGGTTAAACATTTGTTGGGGTTGGAGTACGCTGAGGTCAGTGGTCACGTGTGGTCATACCTGCCTAAGCTCTTGGGAGTTAGTGTGGGCTGTTACCAAGCACCATGGCTTGTTGTAGTGTTTTAGAATCTCAGGTTCAAGTGTTTGAAGAAGGAGAATTCTACTTCTTCAGGAGGAAAGTAGGAGGCTGAAGCATCGCTTAGATGAGTTTGGGAGTGAGTGTGAGAAGGATTTAGCTGGTAAGGAGGAAATGGTCACCAGCAGTGATAGTGGCAGCTGCTTTAAGTGGCAAGTGGTTCACAGTTCAGGAAGAAGGAAGATGAGGAGAGTTAATAGAGAAGATGTGAAGGTAGGAAATCGATTCTCTGTTCTCCAAGATGAGTATACTTCAGTGGTTAGTGAGGTTGAAGGTACCACTGATTCCCTTGCTAATCAAGGTAAGAATATTTTAATAGTAGGCGATTCTCAGGTAAGATGTATGGACCGTGCATTTTGTAACAGAGACAGAAAGGTCAGACAGAGAGGG